CACTCACCAGCTGTGAGCCGGGCTTCTAGCTGAGTGGTTCTCCCCCGTGGGAGCACACTAACCACCAGGGGGTAGCTCCTGCATTGAGCATCTGCCCCCTGGTGGTCAGTGCGCATCATAGCAACCAGTCATTCCAGCCGTGGGCAAACTACGGCCCGAGGGCCAGATCCGGCCCGTTTGAAATGAATAAAACTAAAAAAAAAAAAAAAAAAAAAAAAAAAAAAAAAAAGATCGTACCCTTTTATGTAATGATGTTTACTTTGAATTTATATTACTTCACACAAACACTCCATCCATGCTTTTGTTCCGGCCCTCCGGTCCAGTTTAAGAACCCATTGTGGCCCTCGAGTCAAAAAGTTTGCCCACCCCTGGCTATGCGCATATTAGGGTTTTATTATATAGGATATATAATTTATCAGAAGCATTCCAGAACCTCTCCAAGGATTTCAGGTTTAAGAATTCTATTTTTACCTAATTCAGAACAAGCTTTCCACACTTGAGTGTCCAGCTCCTTCTGTTGCAGGGCCCTGATGATCTTGGAAGTTGTTGGTTAACTAGGAATAGTGAGGTGCCTGACTGAACAGCATCAAGGAAAGAAAAGCAAGGAACACAGAGAAAATGGAATTGAGCCACAATCTTAGCATTTCCCACTGAAACTTGAAAAGAATCTGCAGTGTTCACTTTAGTCAAAATAGCTTAATTTAGGAAAGAAAGAGCCCACTTCTTTTTCTTTATAAAATCCTGATTTTATTGCTTCCTGAATGTTTTTCTTCTTAAAGGAGAAATACAAACCATATGTTACAGGGGCCTCAGTTTGACAGCTTAATTTAGGTCATGCTGGGATTCAGATTTTTCTGGTCATGCCAGGAAGGCTAGTGGGATGGGTCTGACAAGGGCCTGTTGGCAGCGAGGACTAAGAGAGCCCCTTTGGAATGATCTCATTCCAAGGAACGAAGGCTTGGTTTGAGGCAATGTGCCAGGTTTGAGGGTCAAGGGTGCTTTTAATACAGTACAGTGTCAGTCAGTTATTGCCCTGACCCAAGTTGAGAAATGGTAGTGATTAGTACGCTAAAAGTTTGTTTCATTAAAATCTCTGTAAGGCATTGCAGCAGATATTAGTGGTGCCCCAATCCATATGCTTATTGTGAACACCTATGACTTCCTACCAGAGCACTATTTTTTTGGAGCAAAGGAAGCAAGCTCAGGCCAGGAGCTGGGCAAGCTGGAAATGCCAGAAAGTAATATCCCTGGAGGCAGCCCTCAGTCAATGACAGATGGAAATTTGGTGAGGAAGCAGCCCTTAGCACATGGTGGGGGGCTCCCTCATCCCTCAGGTTGGGATAATTCTGAGGTGTGTTCTCCACTGTCTCCACGAGTCCTCCAGAAGGCTTGGGCTCCAGGGATGGCTGGCTTGATAGCACACCCTCTATTAGCTTTCTTCCCATCACTTACTTTTCTTACTCCCTTTCCACTGTTCCTAGGATTGCCTCCCAAATGCTAAACTGCTTGCACTTAAATATTTGTTTCAGAGGCTGTTTCTGGGGTGTGGAAACTCCATATTAAGATAGGCATTGAGCATACAATGCAGTGTTATGCCCAGATTTCAAGATCCCAAAGACCACACCAGGGAGCCAAGTCCGATGCAAAAGCAAAGAGCCTTTATTCAAGCTCGAGCTCAGTCCCTCTGCCTCTACCAACGCAGCAGCAGGATGCGAGAGAGCCCCGAGTCTCAAGAGAACAAAGATTTTATAGGGCTTGGGGTTGGGAGGTGGGGGCATACTTCTAATTGGTTGGGTGAGGGCTGGGGGCTAGTGACGCAAAGGCAGGGTGTGGCTAGGGTCTGGTTACACAAAGGCAGGGGGTGGTCAGCCTACTTTTGGCCTTGGGTTAGTTCCCCTTGCATTCCCATTGGCTGACTTAAGAGCGGGCTGAGTAACTGATACATTCTGTGGCTTTTTCTTGGAAGAGGGGTCAGGGACACAGCTATCAGTCCCATTCTGTTCTTTCAGCAGCATGAGTTTAAAGTAAAGCAAAACTGAATTCAAATTCCTTCTCATCAGTGATAATGAACAACTTCTTTAAGATGGTTTCATCTATAAAATGGGGATAATGAATGACCTCATCAGGTCAGGTTATAAAAAAATATTTGAGAATACATGTAAAGTATTGTGCACTATGGCTTGTACATAGTAAGTACTTTAATAAACATTGACTATTGTCAATAATCTATATATATAAAAAGCCAGCGACTGAAACGCTGTAAAGACCAGAATGACTGGTCACTATGACGCCCACCATAGCCAGCGAATGGCCAAATTGGAGGTGGGGCCAGCCGGCCAACCTCCCATAGCCCTTACCCCGGCCAGCCCCGCCCTGATGGGCCCACCCCACCCCAATTGGACTGAAGCCCCTCCCCCTGGCTGGCCCACCCCTGACCACCCCCCTACCCCAAAGGGGTGGGCAGCAACTTCTGCCCCCTGCCCGGGCGCCACCCCAGATTGGCCCCCCCACCCCATCAGGTGCAGGGCGGGTGGCCAATCACCCATGGCCCCTCCCTCAGCTGTCCTGGCCCTGATCGCCCGATTAGGGGCGGGGCAGCCAGCCAACCTCCAACCTTCTCCTCCTCCCACAGGCCCCTCCCCGGATCTGCCCCTGATTTGGGCTTGCCAGCCAGACTTTCACCCCATGGCACAAAATTTTGTGCACTGGGGTCTGGTGGTATATTTTATAAATATTTGTTAAATACAGCATAGTGCAGGTTGAGGGCAAAGACTGTTTTTCCAACCTTGGATGACTCCTGAAGGAGGTTTGAAGATGTGCTGTTAGAGGCTGGGTGTCTAATGAGCATATGAGGCTTAGCAATATCAATGACTTAGAGCAGTGGTTCCCAACCTTTCTTTAGCCATGCACCACCTAAGCATCTCTAAAATCCTGATTCATCCTGTGACATATAATTCTTAATATTCAAAAAGTGAACTCCTATTCATGTGGAGGAAGCCCAAAAGGCCATTAACTTGGTCTAAACAAGCTTCCAAAGAACATGGCATGCATGAAAGAGAAAAATAAAAGGACAGTTGAAGTTCTGAGGAAGAAATCATTAATTGTTAAAAAATAATAATAATATGAAGTGATATAAAACATAGCAAATAAAGTTTCAAAACATATAGTAGAAAACTGAAATGCATAAATATGCCACAATTTATATTGCTATACATATATGAGGCCCCTAGAACCATAAGAAATGCAAAAAAAATCACTGTTAATAACGCATTCTTAAGTTGCTCCCCTTAAAAATCAAATTGCCCCCCTGTGGGGCATGTGCCCCAATTGGGAACCACTGACTTAGAGGAAACACTGCCCCAGAAACATTACTTTTATTAAGTTTATGAACTTAATTTGCTGTCTAAGGGCCTTTCAAATTGGGGTTGTTCCCTTTGCTCCCTTTCACTCCCCACTCCCAAGCAAATATGATCTTTAATTTTTAAAAAAATATATATTTTTATTGATTTCAGAGATGAAGGGAGAGGGAGCAATAGAAACATCAATGATGAGAGAGAATAATTGATCAGCTGCCTACTGCATGCCCCTACCGGGGATCGATCCCACAACCTGCAACCCAGGCATGTGCCCTGACCGGTAATGGAACTGTGACCTCCTGGTTTGTAGGTCAATGCTCAACCACTGAGCCATGCTGGCTGGGCCATATTTACATGTTTGATCATAAGGAAAGAGAAACTGAGGCAGGTTAAAGGATTTCATTCATTCTCTCATCCTGATTAATTACACTGCCAGGTTCACCTGAAGTATGTCAGCCCTTTCAAACAGCCGAAAGCCCCAGGGTGGGAATGACGGGCCACTTTGGCTAAGACGGCAGACAGAGGGAGGATTAGTTGTTGCCATGCCCTTGCAGGAGGATCAGGTTGACCGTGGTTATAGAATAAGTTTCAGCTCTTTTTATTGTTTTACTCTAGCTCAAAATCAAGGGCCTCTGGTGATATCCCCGTTACCATCTTCTTTTATTTATTTGGACACTAATTTCTCCCCAATTCAGTAGAGAGTTATGTATTTAAAAAAGTAAGCTAACATGCTTTTTATTCAAAAATAACTTTTAAGAGGGGATAGTATTACAGTTAGAAGGGACCCAGCAACCTTGGTACACCTGGGCTTAAGAACTATAACCACAAGGCCTGCTAATCTCATCTGTTTCTTGGGGAAAAGAAAAACCTTTCTGTGACCTTGTCAGCCGGTCTCTTCAACTCATGCAGGAGGTATTCCCAAGAGGGTCCCATTTCATCTGTATGTGGTGTCAGAAATCTGTTGACATCGACTAAGACTGATCTCTGGGCCATTTGCATTGCAGTGATTTAAGTTCATGTCTTGTCTTAGTGTTAAACTGTGAGCTCCTTGAGGGCAGAATCCAGATATGATTTATTTTTATGTGCTCAGAAGCCAGCATAGCTCCTGCCTAGGGTTTCCAAGTTTAGGGGGGGTGGGGTGGGGAATAAAAATATTGTTTATCAAAATTAACCAGTGTCCTGTATTTTACCTGGCAATCCTATCCCTGGCATATAGCTCACCTCAGTAAATATTGGTGAGTGAGTGAATGAATGAATCATACTAACAGATGGAGAATTAAACTGGTAAAAACATGGATTGACCATGTAAAAGATACTCATCTAAATTATGCCTAACAATCTTACAACAGCAAAACTGTCTCTGGTTAACATTCTACTTTGAAAGTCTGACAGTCTGGTTTTGATTTGAGATGCATTTTCTATCCATGCTTCCTCAACCCCTGTTACTTAGTATCCATGTGGGAAGAATACTAATCTTCTGTTAATGTGTTTTGTCCCAATAATTTTATGTCTTAATTCCACACACTTCAGATTTCATGTTGGCCTAATTGTTTATTAGTGTGTACCAGTAGTACAAGAAAATGGTCATCGGATGGTTGTGGGGTTCAGCTATTCTGAAGCACAATCACCTCCAAAATTGTGCTTTTACTCCAGACGAACCCTTGGGTTTTGAGTAAAGTCAACCACCTTGATTAAACCATCAGGACCAATTCTGTTTGGAAAAAAATATATATCTGAGGTTAGTCCATTTAACAATTCCTCTTAAGAAAGATTACATAAACTCTCCCAATGAATTCTGCTGCGGCTCCCACCCTCATCACCCTCTCTCTCTCTCAACCCTTGACTGTTTGCCCCTCCTCCTCCACTCCTACCCACTGGAGACACCTGAACGGGAGTTGGCATCATCTGGAGGCATGATCGGCAAACTGCGGCTCGCGAGCCACATGTGGCTCTTTGGCCCCTTGAGTGTGGCTCTTCCTAAGCCTTAGGAGTACCCTAATTAAGTTAATAACAATGTACCTACCTATGTAGTTTAAGTTTAAAAAATTTGGCTCTCAAAAGAAATTTCAATCGTTGTACTGTTGATATTTGGCTCTGTTGACAATGAGTTTGCCGACCACTGAGAGGACTTGTAAGACACAGATGCCTGGGCCCCGCCTCTCAATTACTGATTGGGGAGGTTCAGGATGTAGCCTGGGAAATTGCATTTCTAACAGGTTCTCAGGTGATGCTGGTCTTGGCAACACTCTGTCACTGTCCTATTCCATTCTTCCCTTTCCCTTGCCCTTCTCTTTTAGATCCTTATCTCTTGTTCTTCGTAATATATCTCCGTTCCCAGATCAGTATAGTGCAGTAACCTCAGTATGCCTTGGCCTACTAGATTTATTTTCCTCGTATTCTTTCCCCTCCTGTTGGTAAAAGCTTACTTACACTTCCTGTTCAATGTAGTTCAGCATTCGGCTGACGTGTGATGCAGAGATCTCGCCGTCCACTTCAGCAATATATGTGTAGAGAAACTGGAAGGTGCTGAAAGGGATCCGGGCAGGTCCAGAATCATGGTCACATGATAAAACTTCACATGCTATCTGGAGAGTTTTGGAAATGGTCTATAAAGCCATAAGATTAAATAAGGAGAGAGTCACTATTCCAGCATAGATTCCTCAGAACAGTTTAGATACAAGAAAGAAAACAAAAATTTTGCTCTTATAAAATGAAGTGGGAATGATATAATATTCTGGCAAGTTTGAATTTTTTACACTCAAATGCTATTTAATGCAATCAAAAAATCTTGGTCTACTGGGTATCTTTATTTTTTTAGAGAGAGATAGAAACATCAATGATGAGAGAGAATCATTGATTGGCTGTCTCCTGCACGCCCCCCAATGGGGATCAAGCCACCCCGGCATGTGCCCTAAGAATCAACCATGACCTCCTGGCTCATAGGTTGACACTCAGCCACTGAGCCATCAGGCCTGGGTATCTTTTTTTATTTTCCTTTTCTTTCTTTGTTGGAGGGATACTCTCAAGGAATTAAGTTTATAAACGGCTGAATATTTAAAGAATATTTATTATCTTAATACTTTAAAATATTTATTATTTTAATCAGAACTTTATTCAAGAATTTGATTTGCATTTTACAAAATTAAAATGATTTATTATTATTATTGTTCTGCAAGCTTCTCTTCAAGGGGATGAGGTCATTATCAGAGAGATACTTTGAGCAAATGCCACAGGAAGAGAGAACGGGGTAGAAGAGTAATGCCCCAGGGAGATAAGAGTCCCAGATCAGGAAAAGTGACACTGAACATCACAATAAAACTAGCTCTTCTACTAAAACACATGGATCCATATAATCAGAACCACCCAGCACTTTATATGACATAACACTAACCTGGTAATTGCTGGGAAAAATTAGTAGATGATGAATGCCAGACATTTTAATGGAAGGGTTAAAACTTAAACATTAAAGGATCATGTTCAGAACTGAGGTTTTACTTTTTAAATTTATTTATTTTTTTAATATATAATTTTTATTGATTTCAGAGAGGAAGGGAGGGAGGGAGGGAGGTAGAAACATCAATGATGAGAAAGAATCATTGATTGGCAGCCTCCTACATGCCCCCTACTGGGGATCAAGCCCACAACCCCGGGCATGTGTCCTTCACCAGAATCGAACCCGGGACCCTTAAGTCCACAGGCTAATGCTCTATCCACTGAGCCACACCAGCTATGGCTTACTTTGTCTTTTAAGTACACCTACCCTTTGAATAAATTTCACAAGCAAGAGAGTTGTGAAATGATGGGATAAAGGAAAGAAATGATTCAAAGAAAGGATTGCTTAGCTCTGAGTTAGCACAGACAGGTCAGCATGTTTATCTTGGTGGTTTACAAAAACAGATGATGTGTAGAGTCTTCTTACATACTCTCCTACGGATCAGGGAAAAGTTAGTCCCAAGCAGTGAAACTGGGTGAAAGCAGCAGCAGCTGCTATAACTCTCCAAATGGTTGGCCAGCATTGTTCTGCAGCTTCTGTTTGCTGTTCTGCTGCCTTCCTCTCCCTGAGTTATTATGAATGTCTAGATGGTGTTTCTTTAACTGTGGTGTGTGTTACCCAGGGATGTAAGTTTGTCTGTCGGGAGGTATATGAAGATGCTAAATAAACTTGGCCCATCTTCCTAGAGTGACAGTTTTACCTGATGCCAGGTAATCTAAACATTATTTGCATTAATTAATTATAATTGATCTATTATTAAATTTTTTTACATTTTACAAACACGGCTATTTTATGAAATAAAATTTTCAACATATATGAGTTTTAAAATGATATACTGCATGATGTAAAAGAAATCTTATGTTTCCAGCAAGCCACTTTCATTTCTTCCCTGCCCTTGGGAGTCCTCATCTAGAAATCGCTATGAAGCACTGAGTGAGGCTAGGCATCACCACAAAGGCGATTAGGAGGCCAGGCATGCAAGGAAGCTGGGTGAGAGGCTGTCAGTGAGAATGGAGAGCATGCATGTAGGTGAGGTCAGCATGATAATGGTTTTGGGTAGATTTGCAGGCATTAATGCACTGAACTTCATAATTTCCATCCATAGCTCATTCTCTCTGCTTTTTAAGAAAAAAAAAAAAGAACCCCCCCCCCAAAAAAAACCACCCTACTCTCGTGCTGCCTTTGTCCTGTTGTTCTCTTCCTATAATCTCATCCAAATTGAGGTGTTGTTATGAGATGAATTGTGTCTACCCAAAGTTCATATGTTAAAGCCCCAACTCATATTTGGAGACAAGGTCTTTAAAGAGATAATTAAGTTAAAATGAAGTTATTAGAGTGGCCCTAATTCCATAGATCTTGTGTCCATATAAGAGGAGGAGGGAAAGGGGGAGGGAGAGAAAGAGAGAGAGAGAGAGAGAGAGAGAGAGAGAGAGAGAGAGAAAATACATGCATGCACACAGGAACAACCACATGCAGAAAGAGGGAGACATTGGCTATTTACAAGCCAAATGAGACTGTTGATCTCAGATTTCCAGCCTCCAGAACTGAAAGAACATAAATTTCTGTGGTCTAAGCCACCAGCCTGTGGTTCTTTGCTATGGCAGCCCCAGCAAACTACATAGATGTTTTCTACCCCAAAATCTTTTACTGGTCATTCAAAGAACCTTCAAATTCTACTGCCCTCATAAGATTTTAAAATATTTTAAAAGATTTAATATATGGATGAATAGAGAAAGAGCTCTCTGGACTGGAGCTTTTTGGTAAACTTAAATAAATCTAAAGTCAACAGCAATTTGCATTTCGATGCACAGATCTTTTTGGTCAGATGGGGATCCACTTCATAGAGATAGCCTTTCAGCCTCTTATGAGCCTCATTTTCAAATTTAGAGGTGAAAGTCTCAGAAAGTGAATTATTTGCTAATAAAATATGTCATTCCTTCCAGGAGCACAATTACACAACCTCTTCTTTTATAAAATTGGTCTCAGTGGAACAGGAGGTGGTGTAGGCTATTCTAGGAGAAGTGGGTGCTGAAAGGGAAGAGGAATACAGGTTTTCATGTAGCATTTTCAATCATGTGTGTAGACTCAGAGAGCTCACGACTGAAGTTCCTGCTACCTAAAATCGCTGCCACTAGACTTTTCTACAAGGAGGAAACTGGATTTTCTAAGTGGCACAGAGATCATGGCAGGCTGGCGAGTTGGCAAAGAAAGGAGGGATTTCTGGGCTTGCCTCTAAGGGTAAATGGATTAACTAGAATGCAAGCCCTCCTCTAGCTGGCGACACCCTGACCACTCCCACACTTATGTTCCTAGCAATAGTCTAACACAGCGGTTCTCAACCTGTGGGTTGAGACCCCTTTGGGGGTTGAATGACCCTTTCACAGGGGTCGCCTACGACCATCGGAAAACATATATGTAATTACATGTTGTTTTTGTGATTAATCACTATGCTTTAATTATGTTCAATTTGTGACAATGAAATTGGGGGTCACCACAACATGAGGAACTGTATTGGAGAGTCTCCAGAGTGAGGCCTGAGTGTGTCTCAGAGGAAGCAGGGAAGAGGGAATGGAGATGTAAGGATCTCATGGAACATTTAATCCAACGTCATCACTTGGCAGGGAGGTAGAAAGATACAATTCACTTTATGGTTTCCCCTCCCCAATTTGGGAGGCAGCCATATCAAAGTCAACCTAGTAGCTGCACAGTGAGCTGAGCCGAGGGAGGGTTGGAATTTGGCTTTCCAGGGTCACTCTTGGTTACTGTGAGGTATGTGGCCAAGGAGAGGACACAGACATCTCACGAGATGGTGAGGGGCTGTGAAACAGACCAGCAAAGTCAGGGAGCAGGTGAGGGCAATCCGGAAGAGACTCCAGGAGGCCCTGAGCACCAGCGAGAATGTAGATGAGCCAGCTGGGACTGCTGTGCAGTGAGAGAGGTGGACCAAAGACTTACATTGCAGACAGCTAGCGACCACAAAGATGAGTATTCCAGGCAGATCAGAGGTGCCAGAGGGGACCAAGGATTGTGGGAAGCCTTTCAGCTGGGTGTTCTAAAGTCCTAGAGTTACCCCTTTCCTAATATACTCAACTGCTATCTTTTTTTTTTTTTTTACAGTCAATTGATTATTTAATACTTTTCCCCCAATTACTGTTGACATTCCATATTATATTAATTCAGGTGTACAGCATAGTGGTTAGCCATTTATATAACTTATGGAGTGATCCCCCTGATAAGTCTAGTACCCCCTGACACCCTACATAGTTATTATAATGTTATTGACTATGTTCCTATGCTGTGCTTTGTTTACATCCCCGGGACTATTTAGTAACTGCCAATTCACTGTCATCTTAAAGGGAGGAGCAGTGAGGAGAAGCCCGAGGGACTGGGCAATTCACCTGAAAGCTGTTGCAGTTATTGCATCAGACAAAAATTCCAGAATTGGATTGATTCTACTTATTTTCTTACTTCACCCTTTGTGGGTGGTATAGATCAGGCAAGTTGGAATTACCTAAATAATTCCCCCCACCCCCGAACATCTCTGGATGTGCTATGAATAAATCCGTGGCCCTGTGAGACTTTGATAAAACTGTCAATGTTTGTATTTTCCCGCTGTGATTTCCCCCAATCCTCAGGGCTGTTTCCACAGCAGTGTGATGGTGCTGAGTGGCAACTCCCTTGCCCAGCTCACCTGCCCCTGCTGCATTTCCTCGGCTCCCTGGAAGAGAGTATTTACTCATTATATAATGTTGCCATAAAGAACAACCAAGACAAACCACAGATGGCCCCTCCTCTCCTCTCCTCTCCTCTCCTCTCCTCTCCTCTCCTCTCCTCTCCTCTCCTCTCCTCTCCTCACCTTAAAGAAATGGTTAGGAGGCAAGTTGAGGGGGAAATCCATAGGAAAAGGTGGGCTACAATATTTCTGGTACTTTTTCCCAGAAACAAAAACATCACATATGCATTTCAAGCATATTGGAGGAGAAAGGGTAAAATCGTGCCTAGATACACTGAATGATTCAAAGTACCTTTCATACCATTTGGTTTTGGTGTAGGCAACACTTCTCTCGTTAACTTTTTAAAAAATATATATATATTTTATCGATTTTTTTCAGAGAGGCAGGGAGAGGGATAGAGAGTTAGAAACATCAATGAGAGAGAAACACCCCCTGCTGGTGATGTGCCCGCAACCAAGGTACATGCCTTGGACTGGAATCAAACCTGGGACCCTTGAGTCCACAGGCTGACGCTCCATCCACTGAGCCAAACCGGTTAGGGCTCTCTCATTAACTTTTAAACTTGTATGTATTTCAGGGATTTTTAAAAACCATGTTTCTGATTAATCTTCATTTAAGTTATAACAGTGTTTAACAAGAGTGAGTCACGTATAAGATGACACCTAAAGCTTTTAAATATATATATATGTATGTATTTAATTATATATATATATGAACTGGTTGCAGTATCTTCTTCTTTAAAACAGGAAAATGGCTTTTCCAATTGCAAACCAAGTGAAATTTGGAGAAGGCATACATTTGTATGAGCATATTGCACCCATGATGATATCATGACTATAAGTATAGACACAGCCTCATTTTTCCTTTCCTGCTCTCTTATCTCTGATTTTTTACCCAATGATGCTTATCAAATAGTTTTCTATAAAGTTGCACCTCTTTTTAAAAGTCTCTCGTGTATATCTTCTAGGTGACTGGAACCCAAGTGTAAGCAAACCTGATTCCCCAGCTGGGTCTTGGCTATCTCTAGGAATATGAATGGAGGGAGTAAAGTGGTGATGGAAATAAATCCAAGTGCAAGGATTGAAATTCATAAATAATCCAAAAGCCACATTCAGTCAACCTCTCCCAAGAGACTGGTGACAATTTTCCTCTCAACCCCTGCTTCTGGCTGATGAGCCAGCAAGTGACTAGTTCGGACAGGCGAGGGGGTGGCCAAGAGGAGGCATGCTCATCACCAGACTGTGTGCACAGATGTACTGCCTGTTCAGGCCCAAAAGAGAGGCTTTCCCTTAAGGACAAAAAAAGCATTAAAGCTAACTTACAACACCAAGAGAGCTGCAAGCGAGGGCTAAAAACTTCAGCCACTCAATCTCCTCCGTGAAGCGGCCCACATTCATCACACTGTTAAACAGCTCTGTTGGGAGACTCAGCACCTTCCACATTTGGGCCAGCTCTTCGACATGGACAATCAGTCTGCCACCAACCTGCAGGGTAGGAGACAGATGCAAGATAGAGCATGAGGGACAGGATGAGAGCATGCCCTGAGAAATAGCTAGCCAGTAAAGGCTCTGTGTCCTCCCAGCACCCGGTAAAAGATGGGGGTGTCAGGGCATAAAAGGGACTCTGATTGGCAGTTATCCTTACAAGGGTAGAGAAATATTCAGCCTATGATGAGCATGCTAAGGTAAATTCAATCATTTTAACTTCAGATGTCAGAATTATGAGAAAAATGTACATTTATATTATATTTTAATTTTTTCTAATGCTTTTATTATTTGCTATTTCATCCCTAGGTTGTCCCTCAAAGGCAGATAGGGCAGCCTGAAATGAAACCAAGGGGCAGAAGACTAAGACTCAAATTCGTGGTGAAACTGGAACTAGGTGGTAAGTCTCTTGCTGCTAGACTTCATTCAGTTCTTTGCACCAGACTTCATGTGCACCCCTCCCCTTTCCTAGGAATAACATTGGGGTCGTGTCTAGATGCTTCGTGTTGCTTGGCCCAGTTCCCTCAGATCTCTGAGGAAAAAGGAAAAATGGCCAGTGTTGGCCAACAATGCGAAAAGGGTACAGACGCCCCAGTGAAGTGTCAATACACCTTCGCAGGCCCTCTGATTCTAGTGAAATGCTAAGCTAAGTCAGTCCCAAATCACCCCAAACTGCTCTGTCCTGGATCCTACAGCAGGGTCTAGGGCAGGGGTGGGCAACCCCTGGCACGCGTGCCAAACATGGCACACCAGTAACTTTCGCTGGCACGTGAAACCCTCTTATAATCTTCCATTTACAATTTTTTTCTTAATATCAACTTTTTTATTTTTCAGATAAATTCAGTGTAGGTGCATCTTAGATAAATAAATAATTTTACATAACAAGTTATCTTAAAGACCATAGACATGGATTGACAAGAGAGGGGAAGAGCAATTTCTATGCCTCTGCCTTAACTCTCCCTGCCTTCCTAGATCCGACCAGTATTTTGGTTTCATCCACATACGCTTGTGAATCTTTGTTCTCAGTGATGAATTTTGTTAAGTCTCATAATAGGAGTAGCCTGACTGATGAAAGTAGTAGCTCATGCATATCTCTGAAGGTCACGAAATATAAACCTGATGTAAAATCTCTGTCATCAGTGATGCAGCAGCAAAAGTCCCACTGATAATATCAAACGGAGTCATAAAGTTTTCTGTCGGACTATCAGTGTACATGTATACATTAAAAAATAAATGTATTTTTCATCATCATATACTGTGTTTTTGTTGCTCGAATGAATTTTATTCAAGGTTCTTCACATACATACACCTTAAGAGATATCAAGTAGGCGTAACATGTTCTCAAAAAATTAGGGTTGGCACGCAGAAGAATTTTGAGTCAGAGATTTTGCTGGTTTTGGCATGCACTCACAAAAAGGTTGCCCACCCCTGATCTAGAGTGCTAAACCATACTGCCTCATCCATTCACCAGACAGCTCCCAGGGTAATGGGGCAGAGAGGAGAGCCAGGGCTATCCTAAAAGTTAGTCTGTGGCCACCCCTGGGAACTACAATATGCCCCTCCCCAACCTGCGATGGTCCTCATCTTATGATCTTGGTCAGTAAGGGAGACACTGTCAAGGGGTGTGGACCTGCACTTTCTGGAGAGAAGGGATTAGCACTGCACGGAGCCCCGGGACATCCCGCCAGCTTCAGGGAAGCCTGGGATGACCCCACTGACAACTCAGCTTACTGCCCATTTCAACAACATTCCTATTTCCCTCGGGGAAGAGTTACTTTCAGTGCACGGTTTAGTGAACTTCAGGATGCTGCTGAGTGGCCAGCTGACCTGGCAGGGGGACAGTGGGCTTCTATCCGAACCCGCCCAGCCTCGACATTGTCCCCACACCTCCGCTGGATGCTGCAGTGTGACCCTTACCCTCGCATGCAGGATCTTCAACAGCTCAGGTGTAAGCTCTGCCCAGTTAGACGAAGGGACTGGCTCAGACCGCTCTCTCACTGAAGGAATCTCTCCGCGGCACATAGCCCCAAAATAACTACAAGAAAAATGTTTTTTCATTGACAGCACATATGCAGGAAATTCTTGCTTGTGATGAATTAGATCTGTATTTTGTCTTGGAAATACTTTGTGGAGTTTTATGCTCTAAAATGCTGCAGATTTGTAAGCCACATAAAACCATGTGCTAAGAGCTTTCCGATGTCTGAACAGAGAATGTGCTCGTAGGTCATGCTCTCCTTTCTCACTGCAGTGAACTACAAACTGACTCTTCATGGATAGCTAAAAAGTTTATAGCACACAGTACAGTACGGGAGCAAGCAGGCTATAACAGTGGAGTGTTTTCTTACATAAATGTCAGGGACAATACCAAGGAATGTCATTTTTCTTGCTATAAAACAGCAGCACAAGAATAAAATGGGATTCTAAACCATTGTATAGTATAAAACAATGTCTGCCTGTGATGCCTAAGAGAAATTAGTTTTCTGACACGTAGAGGTCATACATAACACGTAGAATGGAGAACTAAACAGGCCTCATTTCTAGCAGAGCAACCGCATTTCTGTCTCTTTTTATGAGACTGGCTTATTTTCCTCCCATTCGTAAAAGCGTCGTGGTGGCCCAACCCAAGAGCATGAGTGCACTGGCTCAGCGCCTCTGGAAGGCTCCTCTTAGATTCTGTTGTGTGCCTTCTCCAGGTGTCCACACCTCTCTCCCACCACCTGCTCAATTCACCCACTCAACCTCACCTCCATTCCCCAACCCACCAGCTCCACTTGGCAGCTACTAGCTAGCTACTAGGAGGCCCTGGCACAGTAAAAATAGCCGGAAAATGGCCTGGGAGGTTTGGTTAGCTCCCAACTCCTGCCTCAAGTCCCAGTTCCCCAGTTTCAAGGAGGCACTTCGTCTAAAAAGCAACTTCAAAGCCGAGAGGCTTTCTGTGTGAATCTGCTTCAGGCCGGGCCGGCAGCCATGGCTGTGTAAACTCCTTCCCTTGAGCAGCCTCTGGGGCACCTGCCTGACAGAGGGCACCTGCGTTTGAGGCACGTTTTCAGCCAGACCAGGTGCTCTCCAGCCCTTATCACTGTTTTACCTAATTTCTCCAGAATGTGATGTGTACTGTGTGAATAAGTCAGTTCAAAGAAGCACGGAAGAGAATGACATTTTCCCCAATGACAAAATGCAAAAGGTCACTGGTTGGGGCGAGAGTTTTAACAACATCGGAAGAAGCTCACCCGTGAAAGGAGTGGACCAGCTTGGACTAGTCCCACGCTATCCACCGCGTGGGATGATGGCAGCCCTACCCTAGGTGCACTGCTGCCACCTAGTGGTGAGGCCGGGGACCGAGGCCCTGGTTTACACCTGCTTAGTGTCCAAGCTCCCAGATGCTCCATTCCCCGCCCCCCACTCCCCCCACCCCCACCACCGCTCAGGGGTTGGGGTGCAGAGTCCGGATAGAGTGTGCATATGCTGATATGATGAGATAATTTAACATGTTCATTGCCCCAGAACACTTTGCCTATTGCCCTAACTCCCTGTTGTTCAGTCTGGTTCGCTTAAGGGCATCTCATCTTCAGACCCAGTTTGATGGATTTATGTGTGGAGTTTAAAGCACCAAAGCAATGTAAGAGCTGAACATCACATAGATTACGCTAACCAGTCCCAACTCCCAGGCTGCAGCCATGACAACCGCCTCACAGTTTTCCAAGACCCTCCCTCCCCCCTCCCCCAGCTCCACCTCCAATGGGAATGGGTGGCGGAAGGTGAGAAAGGAGCACCTACTCCGCAGCCCACTGGATGAGATCCGGTGGCTGGGTCCGGATCGCGGCTTTGGTAAATTGCTTCAGCAATTCCGGCAGCTCCGGCGGAATGCATATTTGCTTATCGGTCTGAGGCATTGATTGGTTGACCTATTGGCAGACAAAAATAAATAAATAAAATGGTCATCTCTGAATCACAAAATGACAGGAATCCTGGACAAAATGACAGGAATCCTGGACAGGAGGGAACCCAGCCTGTTGGACACTCTCACGACATACTAGTACATTCTATAGTTACACAACTCCGAGACGAGAACGTGGTTTACTAACCCTACTATTTGTTGTTGTAAATAATTCTGTCCTTTAACATAAAGACACACACAGAATACTTACTCATTTAAAAAATAGAGCTCAACAAGGAGTTACCAAAATGATGTTAACCCAAAATATTGGATGTCTCCTTCCAGAATTTATTCAATGTAAATAGTATATATTTATATAAATAAAAATGGGGTCATGCAAAACAACTTATTTACTCCACAGCATTTCATGAACATCTTTCATATCATGCAACTCTTACTGGCCAAGTAAGAGTGTAGCAAAATTTACTCTGTAGATCCTCTATTATTTGACATTATTTCCAAATAAAAATAATCATTAAGCAGGCATTTGATGAACATCTCTCTCTACATCTGTATGTACTTATCTATCCTAATTGTGAAAAAAGAAAACATGTACATTTCACTCAAAAAGTTCCAAGACAAATTGAAACAAAATATGAAAATCCATACATGGTATAAAGCTCTGTGCACAAACAACAGTTTAAAAGATTTTGTTTGCTTTTTAGTAGAGAAAGAGTCTAGGGATTCTGAAAAGCCCCTCCTCAAAAAACCCCTAGATGTTAGACACATCCCAGCAAACTGTACCTTTCAAATTACCTTGTTATGTTGCAGGAAAGCAGGGGAAATTAAGTGCCAGGTAAAGTGAATAAAGCAGAAATCAGAATGACAAATGACAAAACTAGGGGCAAGTGTAGATGCCAGAAACTTGAAACTTTCAGACAAATGGCCAAGTAAGTTGGAAATAAACCAGGTCTTGGGCCTATGTAATGTAAACAGCTGAACTGAAGGATTCTCTTATCACTGATCCCCTCCCCACCCCGAGACCCTCCAAGGTTCACACACCCTTAGCGTGAAAGGGTGGGATTGAAAGTGTCTGCTTACTGGCAGGGGAAGTGACGTAGAAATATGTTTCCATTGTTGCTTTTTGTTGGGGGCGAGATAGTCTCCCATGAGTTTGTAGCCACAAACTGGGTCTAAGTTTTGAATTTATCCCATCAACCAGCCTGGTTGGAAAATCCAAAGACAAAAAACTAAAATGGTCTCAGGTTGGTGGTACTCCATTCTATTTTACTTTACGTTCTTTTATTTGGAGGCAGCAGAGTATAAAGATATTTTAGACTTTGTAAAAAGTCAAGTATGCAAGTATGCAGAGTAAAATTTCTAGGATAATTACTAAAAATGTAATATCACCACCAAATTAGTAAAGAAGAGATAGGAATTAAAAACAACAGCAGCAAAACAACTTGATCAATAGAAAAGAAGAAAAGAGAAAAGCATAGAAAAAAATGGATAAATAACATGACAGAAAAGAATCCATATACTAGCACATCAGTAATTACGGTAAAAAGAAGCAGTGATAAATGTCCCAGTTAAAATTCAGAAATTATCAGAGTGTATTTTTTTTTAAAATCCGAAGATATTTTCTTACTGATTTTCAGAGAGAGTGGAAGAGAGAGGGAAAGACAGAGAGAAATATCGATGTGAGAGAAACACATTGATTGGTTGCCTACTGCATGCACCTGAACCAGGGGAGGAGCCTGCAACCAAGGTACGTGCCCTTGACCAGAATTGAACCTGGAACCCTTCTGTCCACAGGCTGATGCTCTATCCACTGAGCCAAAGCGGCTAGGGCTATCAGAGTGGATTTTTAGTAACTTCAACTATAGGCACATATGAAATGACATAAGGACACAGGAAGACTGAAGGTAAAAGGATATATGATTAAATAGGCAAATAATAACCAAAAGAAAGTTGATGTAGGCATGTTAATACCAGACAAAAGAAACTTTAAGGCAAAATGCATTATTAGGAATAAAGAGGGCCACTGAATAGTGGGGAAAGCTTCATTGATTGAAAAGATAGCAAAAATCTCCATAAGCATGCTGCAGACATCACCGTGGCTGACTCTCACAATGCTGGCTGGAAAGGCGATACATTGCTTAGGTTACATACATATGTCATCATATTATAATAAAGAACAACAAGTAATAAACCCAGATTCAGAATGGCTGTTATCCTGTGTCAGGGAAGGAGAGGGATGTCATCAGGAGTATGAAATAGGGGTCCCGACACTATTAGCAATGTTCTATATTTTAAGCTCAATGGTGGTTGCCTAGATGTTTGCTTTATTATTTTTATGCCTCTTTTTACATGATGCATTGGGTTTTGTGTTGTGAAATATTTCATAATTTAAAAAGTTACTAATACAAGTTGATTGTCTCTGATAACTTTTCAATCCATTTTATCTGCCAAAGGGCACACTCTTATTTTGTTCATATTGTCTGCATATACTGTGGAACCTCGGTTCTCAAACTTAATTCATTCCTGAAAGCTGTTCAAGAAATAATTTGTTTGAAAACCTTATTTCCTCCCAACTAAGAAAGTATATATGCTTTCATCATCATTATCATCATCATTATCATCATCATCATCACTTCTAATAAAACATAATTGATTTTGTTCACTTTAAAAGTTGTGCCTTGGTTTATATTTGTGTTTATTCTTAACTTTTGATGTAAAATATCCAAAATCTGATTCTTAATGGATTTCATAATTATATTACTTATAGAAATAATGTTTCCTTCTAAAAACAAAAAAAATGGAAAATAATTTAATTGGTTTAATAAAGGGGACTTAGGCCTTTAATATCTTATGGAAAACATTTTTCAAAATGTTTTAACTATACTTGAGTATAAATAATATTTATATTTTGTGGAAAGGCTAGCATTTCAATTATTAAATTGAATTATAATATTTCCAAAGTTCCCCCTTATCAAATGCTTACTTTTTCAAAAATTTAATGATTTAAAATAGTTTAAGGAAATCAACCTTATTTCCTTGAATATTGATTTGTTGTAGTCAAAAAGGCCTATGTTTCCTTAAGTACTTTAATATGGTATTTATTTTCCCACCATAAAGTATAATTTAAATCTAAATATTAATAATTTTTAACTATTGAATTATTGTTGAATTCTTTTTAGAGATTCACAAGACATATACAGGAATTAAAAAATAAAGTTAAGTCATTTATTAGGCAATATAGTGAAGATTATTTCAAATTTGGATTTGTTTGCCTTGATAATTTTTTTTGTCTGCCTAAATATCTTATTTTCGTTGAAAAGGTATCACATGAAAAAATAATGGTGCCAGGTAAATTATGCCAGAGCCTTAATAGAAAATACCTATGTTCTACAAAGTCTCTGAAGATAGTAATTCTTAAAGTTTTTGGCATCAGCACCCCTTTACATTCCTAAGTTATTGAGGACCCTAGAGAACTTTTGTTAATGTGAGTTATATCTATCAATATTTATCATTTTAGAAATTTAAAAATATTTAAAATAAAAGGAAATTCTTTACTTGTTAACATAAGTAATGTAATTTTATGAAAAATGCAATAGTGTCCAGAAACAAAACTCCTTAATGAGAACCGAGACATTGTTTTACATTTTCACAAATCTTTTAATGTCTGGTTTAGTAGAAGGCGGATAGATTCTCATATCTGCTTTGCATTCAATCTGATATGATATCACACATCATGTAGCTTTTGGGAAACTCCATTGTACATTCTTAAGAAAAAAGAGAGTGAGAAAGACATATAATGTCTTAGCATTATTACAAAAATAGTTTTAACTTAATAGATTCCTACCCACCCAAAGTCTCAAGGATCCGCAGAAGTCCCTGAAACTACACTTTGGAAACCACTGTTTTATGAAACTGTTACAACAGTATATCCAACTACAACAATAGTTTACATCAGATTGGGTTTGGCTTCAAGAAGCTAATTAAAAAGTCACATAATTAAGAACTAAAGCCAATTAGAAAACTATGGTACATCTACACAATGGAATACTACGCTGCTATAAAAAAGGAATTCTTACCATTTGCAGCAGCATGGGTAGAACTGGAGAGCATTATGCTAAGTGAAATAAGCCAGGCAGTGAAAGAAAAATACCACATGATCTCACTCATTTATGGATAATAAAGAACATTATAACCTGATGAACAAAAAGATAGATACAGAGGCAGGGAAGCATGGAACAGACTGTCAAATTATAGCGGGGAGGCTGGGGAGTGATGGGGAGGGGGGGTAAGAGATCAACCGAAGGACTTGTATGCATGCATATAAGCATAACCAATGGACACAAGACACTGCGGGGGTGGCCGGGGGAAGGTCAGTGGGGAAAAAAAGGAGACATACGTACTACTATTTATAATACTTTAAACAATAAAATAAAATTTTTTAAAAAAGAACTAAAGCCAAAATGACTCTTACAATTATAGAATCAGCATTTACCAACCTGCCTGGGAAATTAGCACGTTTGGGACTAAGTGAAGTAAAGGAAATATAAGTGCCACTCTGGAATGATACTATTAGAAGATGCATTGATGTCACTCTCTACACGACTAATCAATCACAGCATTTCCTTGCAGAGAAGTGAACCCGCAGATGTCAGTAACATTGTGCAGGTTAACAGCACTAGTTAGAATCCTTAGAGAGGAATGCTTAGAAGAATATGTTTTGCCAAAAAATAGTTTTGCTAATAATACCATTTGCCAAAAATTACCAAAATAAACTACTCAGGATGAAGTATTTCGAGTACTTTATGTACTTTAAAACAAAATTTTCTGGATTAATACAGCGGTTTCTGTGCTGATGGGAAAGCTGTGATGGCAGGAAGGTGGGAATGTTTTTACTTGATATCTGTTCTCCATGTTCTGAACACCTAGGAGGCAACTAAGACATTGTTTAGCTCACAGAGAGTTCTCATCTCTATGTTCGCCTGTAGATGTAAATTC